GTGGCTGTGCAGGGGCAAAGTAAAATCTTGTTGGGGGAGAGCTGTTCTGCTTTTTCTTTATCCCTGACAAAATCTTCCACAGATGCTGCAGCAGCTGGTGAGCCCATAGCCTGTCCCTGTTGTTCCAGTGACCATGTGGTCATCCTACCCTCAGAGATGTGCTCCAGCACGCCTTTGCCACCTGGCCCTGATAGCACGAGTGAGGACCTGTCAGACTCTGTCCTGGAGGGAGGCAGCCAGCAGGAGGGCCCAGAGGAAGCTCCTGCCCTGCCCAGTGAGAGTGGGAAGTTTTACATCGGCGGGGAGGACAGCTCAGAGATGGATACCAGCAACAGCACGAGGACCCCAGAGCTGAGTGGCGAGCGTGACGGCGCTCTCCATTACAGCTCCCACAGTTCAGATGGGGGCTGTGGGAAGAAGGAGCTGGGCATGAAGAGCCAGTATTTGTCCCTCAGCCACACAGACGCCAATGGGGGCAGCTTGATGGGGAGCTACCGATACAGTGTTTCTCATGGGCCCACTCCTTCCCAGCTCTCTTTGAACTCGGAGTCCGAGGAAACATGGAATCTCAGTCCCTGTGAGTATGTAGGAGCTGTGCAGGGTTTGGGGCTGTACACAGCTTGGTATTGGGTTTTATCACTGGTGCTTGCAGGGTGGACTGCCTCCTCTTTAATGGGGAAGGGGGGTCATCAAGCACAAGCAGCAGTGACCATGGTTCTTGTGAGCAGAGTTTTTCATTCCCCTCTCTGTTCAATCTTCATGCCTGAAGGTAGAGAAAATGAGTCAGCTCCTAATCCCTAGTATTGCTCAGACTCTTGAGTAATAGGGTCTTATTCTGGGAGCTGCACTGCTCAGTTACAGACACAGTGGGTTCCTGTGGCACCAGTGAGCTGCCAGCTGGAGCGTTACCTTTGGAGAATTGTACGCACAATTTCTCTGTCTTTATTCTCTGACTTAAGTGCAGTGTGAGGCTGGTGTGTTTGTTGCAGGCTCTGGTTAGTGGATCTACAGTTACTTGTGCTTTCCTCAGTGGTCTTTGTGAGCTTCAGATGACAAAGCCTGTCCAAAAGAAGAGACTGTGTGCTGGCTGTGTGAGGGCTATCGTGCAAGACAGCAGTTACTAGGAGGTCCACAAATGCTTTTTGTGAAGGGCCTTGAATTTCTGATGTAGCAGACTGCCTTTGCTGGGGCATCAGCTTGTGATTTACAGAATAACTGAAGTTGGAAAGGAGCTATGGAGATTATCTGGTCCAGCCCACCAAGTGGCTCTGCTGCAACTGCAGTCTAGTCCTGATTGTCAAACCCATCGGCTTCTTGATCTATAGAGATCTCCCCCAGCCTTTCAAGACTGCTGTGCCTCTGAAAAGGAGTTGGTATAGGACTAGTGTTTAGGATTGCCATGTTCAGTCCTGTACACTGAACCCAAAACAAGGGTCAAATCACAAGGTCCCAATTTAAAACTGAGCCTGTGAAAAAGTTCCTGCTGAGGAGAAGTTGATCAGTGTTTCTGGTGGAGAACAGGCTCCGCTGGGAAGCATGTACTCTTGGGCAGTATTGTGTCTATTGTATAAATTATTTGGTCATACAGTTGCATGGAAAACCTAATTATGTTCTTAAGCAGTTTTACTGGTGTCTTCCTCAGTCCCCTTTAGCCTTACTACAGTCAAAGTCAGAGTTTAAAAAGTTGACCTTAGCTGACATCAGCTGAAATGAGAAATGTCTTTCTGGCTTTGTACTAAAGAATTGCCCTCCTGCCAAATCTGGCAGCAAAGCAGTGTCCTGCTATGACTAAGCTGAGCATAGGTTGAAGATGGGTTAGACCAAAGCTTTGTATATCTGAAAAAGCAAGTGTTGGAATGATGGAGTCCCCTCACGTCTCCACATTGAGACCTGTGGCCTCTAAAGCCCTGGCTTTGGCCCTTTGTCTTAAGGAGAGACTTGATGGAAGCAGGTATGCAGAGGGGGTGACACTGCTGCCGTGCTGCCAGTCTGCAGGCTTGGGCAGCATCTGGTCAGTGGGCAGGGTGTCAATCATACCCTTTGCTCTTCTCAGCCGTAAATGGCATCCTGAACACAAGGGACTTCCGTTCTGTGGATCATCGCCTGAAGCTGTACCTGGATATGGAGGTTTTTGAGGAGAACGCTGAGGAGTTCCAGTGCTTCCTCAAGGTGAGCTGCAGCACCACTCCTACAGCTCCTTGGCTATCCTTCTAGCCACCCTGCAAGTTCTGCTCCAGGGTGGCATCCCAGAGACTGAGGTGTGAAAGGAGCTGAAGTGTGTTTGAGTTGGTCCTTTCCATGGGTAGGCTGGCAAGGGGCAGGCCAGTGCTGTGACCCACCCTCTCTGTGCTCTAGGTGGTCATGGTGAAGTTTGGCCGACAAGGAGAGTTCCTCTCAATCCTGGTTGCCTCTGATCTCAAGATTTACGTGCTGGAAGTCACTGGGGTTATCAGGTGAGACGAATGGTGGCAAGTGAGACCCTGCAGCAAGGCTGTGAGTGCTGGGTAGTGCCAGCCTGTGCTAGCCTTGCCCTGAAGGTGTGGTGACATGCAAAGGCTCTTCTGGCAAACCCCCCTGCTGCAATCTGATGTGGGAGAGGAGATGGGGCAGCCTGCTGCAGCTGAGGGCTGTGCTCTGTAATTAGGGGACAACCTGCAGACTGGCTGAAGAAGAATGACTCTCACTACCTCTCTGATATTTCCCATCTGGAAGTGGGACTCAGCCACCAGAGCTTGCGAATGGAGTTTGAGAACCCAAAAGCCTCCTACAATCTGCTGATCCGGAACCAAAGCTGCTGTGACCAGTTCCTGCAGACCCTGACATGTAAGAGTAGAGCTGTAGCGGGGGCAGCAGGGGGTGGAGAGGATTTGGAAGATTTTATCTTGGAGAGCTGCCAGGAGAGCTGTAGTTCCATGTATGTTGGAAATTCACTTCTTGCCAGCTCAGAAAAAAGTTGGGCGACAACGGCACTGGCATCATAACTTCCAGTGCCCCTCTGTAGACTAGAGAACCATCCTGAGCTGTTTTGTACTGCCCTTGGGCTTGCAATAAAAGACATCTACCTTCTCCCTTTCTTTAGATCTCATGCAAGAGCTGCCTGCTAAGCACAGGAGTAAGGTGAAGGAAATCCCCACTGTGGAAATGAATCCACAACATTGGCTATGGTAAGAACAGCCTTTGAGAGGTTAGGGTTTTGGATAGCAGATGTCTGCTTTTCCAGCAGTGCCTGGGAAGTGTAGTGCTCAAAACAGGGCAGCACAGGAGGAGGCACCACTGGAACAGCAGCCAGGTCTACAGTACAGGTTTAAGGCAGCTGGCTCAGGTGCCTGCTGCACAAGGGGTGTCATGGACTGAACCAGGCTGGGCAACTCCAGCTCTCCTAGCAGAGCCTGAGCAGAATATAATGGAGGGAGGAAAAGGGGGAGGCATCGAGTTGCCTCCTCCCTTGTGAGAACCATTTGTTTCCTAGCCAGCAAGGTGGTGGGCAGAGTAACAGGAGAGAGAGGAATTTTGCAACAGCTGGAAGAGATGGGTGCCTCCCATCCTCAAGAGGACAGTGAGCAGTAGCTAGCTCACAGTAAGTCTAGCCTGGAAACAGAGTGGTTCCTTGATCGGCCTGCTGTTGTATCTCCTCTAGGCCTCTGCTGGACTCCAAGACCGCAGATTCTGCAGCTGCAAATGACACTTGTTTCTTCTACCTGCTGGCCTACCTGATCCAAGGTACAGGAGATCTCAGTGGCCAGGTGTCCCATACCTTGTGCTGTCTGCTTACGTGCTTGTGTTTTTAGTGCGTAGTCTGTGGGAACAGAGCTGGGCCATTGCAGCAGAGATGGGGTGGGGGCATGGGTGAGGGTGCTTTTTTTTTTTTTTTTTTTTTTTTTTTTTTTTTTTTTTTTTTTTTTTTTTTTTTTTTTTTTTTTTTTTTTTTTTTTTTTTTTTTTTTTTTTTTTTTTTTTTTTTTTTTTTTTTTTTTTTTTTTTTTTTTTTTCTTCACCTCCTTTTAAGTCCTGAGACATGTAGGATAGCAGCATGCTTCTTCCTATATACCCACTGAGTCTCCCAGCCCTTTTGGATGTGGAAGTTCAAGCTCTAGGGAGTAGTTGGTCTTGCACACCAGCTTTGGTGACAACTCAGAATGACTTCTGAGAAGCTGGAAAAGGGCTGGATCATTGCCCTAAGCTGGGAGAAAGCTGAGGGGTTATACACACAGCTGGTTTGTGTGAGGAGCTGAAAGGCTCCTTGGTTTAGGAAAACAGAAGCAGGTGTCTGGAACTTGAGATGGTAGGACAGGGACAGCCTGCTGGAGCCTACCAAGATCATTCCCAGGGCTTGCTGAGGGCCATCTGTGCTAAACCTGGGATTTGAGTCTTCAGTGAGCAATCCCAGTGTCTTCTTAGCTTGGGACACTGAAAAAATCAACCTAGCTGTTAGTCTCATCCTGACCAATTTATTACTGCTCTTGCATCCTCCTTTACCATTGACCATTGGGGAGGCATGAGAGAACAAGAATGAGAAGGAATCTGTGGGAAGTATGTTTATTGGTCTCCTCAAGCTGAACAAATAGCCTGTGGGAGGGAGGCCTTAAAGTGCGTTTTTTTTACTCCACGGTTTTTCTCCTTTTTTAGAGTATGGTGCCCAAAACTGGGCACAGTTCCAGCTGAGGCCTCACTGCCAAGTAGACAGGACTAATTAAACATCCTATTTCTGATATGCCTACTAATTCCCAAGAGTGAGATGTGACAAGAAAAGCAACATATTGCTGTAGCAGCTTGTGATCCGCTGTGACCTCAGCCAGTTCTGCTAGTGGTTCCCTATTTCTGTGCATCTGACTTATTCCCAAGTTCTGGTGCTCTTCTTTTGTATCCACTGAAATCAGCTGGATGATATTTATGCTCCCTACAGTTTATCAAAACTACTTTGCTTCCTGCCATACTTATGATGCATCCCAACTTGCCAACTTTGTCTGTGCTCTCTGTTCCAGCCATCAGGTATCTGCAGCCAGACAAATTCAGGACAAAAAGGGCAGCCTTTTAGCTGGAGCTCCTGACTTTTAACTAAGGAGTAGTAAAGTGTTGTTTGAGGTCAGAGGGCTCGAGTGTCTTCTCCTGCCTCAATAGAGGATATAGGCTGGACAAGGCTTGCTGGGCAGTGGTCTTTCATATGTATGCTCCTGCAATGAGCTTGGATAAGCTGGTCAAGCCCAGCCACATTTAGCTACCTTGCTCCCCCTCTAAAGTCAGGAAGCTGGATAAGGCTGTTCACCCAATTACTGGTGCTGGAAAGGATTTCCCTAGGGGAGGAATGAAAAGCAAAGCTGGTTCTGTGGTGACTCAGGCTCTCAGCAAAGCCTCTCCTGTTCCCTCGTATCCTTTTAGGGGCATCTGCTTTCCCTGTGACCCTGCTGAGCACCCGAAGCATGCTGTTTCTGCTGGAGGAGAATCACCAGTGGCAGGTGCAGCCCTCCTTGGATGAAGACCATGAGGCAGAAACGCCTCCTAGGAGCAACATCCAGTTGAAGGAGAAGCAGCCGATCAGCAGTATTAGCAATGTCATAACCTATCGCCTCTGTCCTTGTGACATCAAGCTGATGCTTTATGATGAGGTAACCAGGAGGTGGTCATGGGGCACATGAGATGCTGGGGGCTGGGTTGTGCTCAGATCCTGTTCCTGCCAAGACTGTCATGGGGCTGTCATCTCCCATCCTAACCTAGGGCCTTGCACCACAGAGGCAGGGGAGCGCAGTGAATTGCTGCTGTGCAAAAGTCATGCAGGGACACTTCCATGGCTGGCAGCAGAGAGGGAGGAGGATGTCACTTAAGAATTGGGAGGAGCTGGCAGCTGCAGTGGGGAAGAGTGGCTTAGGGCTGATCAGTGCCTTTGAGGCTAGGCCCTGCTCATCCGCCTCCTTCTCTTTCCTCCCTCCCAGGTGCTGAAGGTGGAGAGCACTTGGCACATCCGCACAGAGTGCCCTGAGCTCCTGGTAGAGCTGGTGGAGTGGATCCGCAGGCCGTGGGAGGAGATGTTCTCAATCGAGCTACGGAAGGCTGTGTATGAGGCACTGGAGTGAGCTCGCTGGCTGTAGGCGGGTGGGACTTTGAGTCAAGAGTGCTGCCGTGCTGGCAATGGTGCACAAGCATCTCCCACTCCCATCTGACCTTGCTGTCCTGTGGCCTCTGCTTTGTACTCTACTCTTGCCCCTGGCCCCTTTTTGGTGAGGAGGAGGGGAGCACATGATGGTCTAGACTGCACAGTCACTCACTTGCACTGAGCTGGCCGTGGAAGGAGGAGGTGGAGGGTGTTCCCTGTAATACTGCATAAGCTACCCAGAGTTTTAACTTGGCAGTGTCTGATAGTCTCTTTCAGGGTCATATAGACTGTCACTGAAGGAAAAGGGGAGCCCAGCCAGAGCATGTTCAGTGGGATGTGCAGTGGTACTAGTAAAACAGCAGGCCAGAGGCTCTTGGGTGCTGTCGTCTCTAGCAGGTGTATCTGCTGCCTTCCTAGCTGTCTCAGAACAGCTGCCATTATCTGCTGGTGACTTTTTTTTTTCTTTTCCTCCCCCTCCCTCTTATCCATGGCTTCCCTAAAGCTGCCTGCTTCAAACAGGAGCCTGATTGCACAAGGGGATGAGGCATGTTGTACTAATAACCCCACAGAGAGCCCTTACCTGCCTGCCTGGCAGGGCATGGCTCAGTCTGCTGCTGTAGTCTTTCACTGTCACTGGGGAGGGAGGAGCTGTGAGGGTCTTAGCACAGAAATGTGTTGTTCATCACTTAGGGGTCAGGACCCTTGTGGGCACTGGCAGGTAAAAGTGAGGCTTAGGCTTTTCTGAGCAGTCCAAAAGCAAGAGTCTATTTTAACATGAGTTTTACTATTTTCTATTGTAATAAAAGCTTATATTTATTGAATTGTCATGTTTTCCTTGTTTTCATCCTCTTGTACTGCTATAATGTCTTTGTAAGGTCTTGCATACTAGCTTTGCAGCAGCCTCAAGGGTTCCCCAAGGGTTCCTGCATCTCACAGGGTCTGAGCCATTCTCCCCCTCCTGTTCAGGGTGGGTGCTGATGGGCTGCTAGACTAATTTTCTCCACCTGCCTGGCTCCCAAGCAGCAACAAAGGAACAAGGCCCAAACAGGATTAGACTGACAGCAGGTACTGGTTGTGGTGTTCTCCTGTGACAATTGCCCTCAGGTGAGCATCCTGGGGGCTTCCCGCCCCAGCAAGTTGCTTACTGGCTGTACAGGCCCTCAGAGGCACACCTCTCACAGGAGCTGTTGCTGCTGTGACTGTGGAGGTGGGAGTAACTGCCCCCAGGTTCTTTCCTGTACCAGGCTTTACCTTGTCTCAACCTCTCCTGCACAGAGTCAAATGCAGCTGAAAAAATGCTGCTGCCTGGCCTGGGCTTGCTATGTCACAGGGTCTCTGCACCCAGCCCAGTGAAGAGCAAGCAGAGACGCTGTGTGTGGTGTTTCGATGCAGTTGATGCTCCCTGTTGGGGTGAGCAGAAACGGGCCTGTTACATTAATGTGCTGCCAGGTGGATCTGATGCCCCAAGTGGTCACCTTTACTGATGGCTGCTTTTCCCAGAACAGTGTCTGTCTTGCTATGAGTGTTCAATGCACAGTTTCAGGGCAAGTTTTCCGACTGCTGAATCCTTAGTGACAAAACCTCTATTTTACAGTGAAGTGATCTTGATTTCTTTAAAGACACGTATTTGTCATTCAGTGACCTGATGCCTGTTTTCTTTGGATACTGAGCACGGCAGCTCTTGGCAAGCCTCTACGACATCCAAACCTTCCACATACCCTAAGCTGGTGTCTAGCTTCTTTCATCTAGAAAAGAGCAGTGACTGGGTCCCACAGCATCCTGCTGCTCCACTCTCACCTGGATGGATGAGCTAAAGTTTCCCTCCCTGCTCAAACCCAGCTATGCCATCCTCACAGCCTTAGGAGAGTGGGAAGTTCAGTTTCCATACTTTGTAGTGGTCTGAAGGCCGCCTCGCAGTGTGCAGTTGGATGCTTTCTTGGAATTGCTGTACTATTAGACTTTCTCCTGTCACTTCCAGAAGCAGTTGAGCTGCTGAAGGCCCACAGTGGCTGATATTTTTATCTAGCCTTCTATAGACTTGATTGACAAGATATATACTGTCTTGAGGCAGATGTCACAACGCATTCCACTTTCTCCCCTCTTCCTAAATGGGCATATGGCTGCTGCTCTCTGTTCTTTTGGAGCGATCTCAGATCGCACGCGGGCGTGAGCTCAGTGGAAGCGCTGCCAGCACCTAGCGCTTTGTCCAGGGGAAGGAGTCTCAGAGCTCAGCCAGTAAAGACCAGTAAGGGTTTTCTGTCTTCATCTTGCCATTTAAGGATCTTGCGTAAGTACTGTCTTCACCTTCTATAGCTGTGTTTTTCACAAAGGGTAAGAGTCAAAATTGGAGTTACTGGAGCAGCTCGTTGATGTCTCTTCTGCATAAGCTGATCCCTTGAGAAAGCCCGTCCCTGGAGCTTGCTTTTTTCATCGTAGCCGAGCTACACTTTGCTCTGCCATGCCAGTGTCTGGGTATGCGTTAAGGGGCCTGACAAGGTGTGGACTGCCAGAACCAAAGGTTTCAGCTGTGTGCCTGTCCACAGCTCTTCTCAAGCTCTTCCCGGTTTTTACTGCAGAAGTGACTACTCATTTGCTTCTGCTCCTTGCCATGTCTCTGCAGGTCTGTGCCCTCAGCTCAGCACTAGCCTCTTGGTCCCGTTAACAGCTCCCTGCTCTTCTGCGTTCCTCTGGCTGCTGACAGGGAAGCTCATATGTGCTGCCACAACCTGTCTCCTGCCTCTTAATGAAACACTTGCTTTGTTTTTGCTTAGGGTTTTGTCCTGGTTGTTACCAGATTAACCCCTTTGTGGTTAATTTGTGATCATGAATGCTTTGCTGTGGGGCTCCTCGCACTAGGCGCAGTGGTAGGATTAACTGGCCTCATTGCATCAGCTGGGTGTGTGCAAGGGCTTCCCTGACACGCTCCTCCACTACAGCACTGCAGGCAGCCCCGGCTCATGGCTGTGCAGGAACAGGGACTGCATAGGAGATCCAGGGTTTTTGGAGAGGTGTGACATCTGTGGAACCAGCTGCAGATGTCTTCTGCCTGTCACAAGTTGGAGCATGCAGTCCCCCAGCTGTGCTCTTAGACACTTGCAAATTTTCCCCCTTCTTCCCCTCTCCTTTTCTGGGTGCACTTGGCTCCAGCACTCAGCTGCTAGCATGGAGCAAGGCTGGTCTGAATGTCAGCATTTCCCTGCCAGCAGCAGGCTCTTCTCAAGTGTGTGTAGCTGGAGGGATGCCTAGCCCTGGGGTGGTCACAGGGCTCTGGAGACAGGCTGCGGGCAGCCCCAGGCAGCTGTGGGCTTAGGCTTTAGGCTGGTCATTGCCATGACCCTGAAGCTACCACCGCTTTTCCACAGGCATGTACCAGCCCTCCCTTACTTTGCTGTTCAACTCCTTGTTGAAAATAATCCCTCAAGTCACAGGTTTCGATATTTCAGTGCTTCCTACTCTGTGTCTCTGCCTTCTAAACCAGTACTGCCTTGAGCATACATAGCTTGTGGGTTAGCTGTTGCGCCCTTGCACTATGTCTTACTAATGAAGCCTTGTTCCTAATCAAATTGGGTGACAGGAGGGACTGGTTGGTTGCTTCTAGCAGAATATCCCTGCTGGCCTCATTGCCAGGGGACTGGAGATGCAGCAGCAAAGGGCACATGTTCCCTGTGGCTCATGGACCTGCCTGGCCAGCTTCATCCCTCCTGTGGGTGCCAACGCTCCTTACCCAGCTTACAGAGCAATGGCCCAGGGCAGTGTAGACCCCTTCCCTTTGGGCTGCCCTCCAGCTTGGTGGGCAGGGGAAGAACAGCAAGCAGAGGCTGGACTTGGGTGCCACGTGCAGTGCCGGGGTGCTGGCAGAAGTCAGCACCCAGGAACTGGGAAGGAGACCCTAGCAGTAAGGAGGTGATCCAGGGCTGTGCCATGTACCCCTCAAGTGCTTCATAATCAGGCGGGGGGAAAGGGAAGGGGACTTTATTTTGAAGCCATCCCAGTCTTCTTTTGGCTCGTATTAAAGGGGACGGTTATTGCCCTTTGCGCTGCTGCGACGGAGCGTGCCTCTGCCTGTTATCAGAAGGTTATTAAGCTAGTTGTGGAGCTGTCCCGTATCAGGACAAACAGTCCCTAATAGAGCCGTCTGCTCCCTGTCCCAGTGCCAGCCCAGTTGTTTAATCTGGGAAGAGAGGACTCACGCTGCCCACCTGCAGCCCTGCCCACCTGTGGCCCTGCTCCGGGAGGGTGGAGGTAGCTTGCCCCTTCCTTGTCTGGGGGCTGAGCACCAGCCGCACAGGGTCCACGCTGCCGCACAGCAAACATGCCTGGGGTGCCCAGCCCCGCCATCTGCCATGCTGCCACCGTCCCCGGAAGCAGAGGCAGTCATAGCAGGGCCCAGCCCATCCTGCCCTGTTGATTAGAGCAGGAATTGAGGCTGCTAGCGAGAGCCAGACTCCCTGGCAGCCTGTGTCCAGCAGTTGAGGTTGGGTCCGGCAGCGGAGCCCGTGAGGGTGCCTCCATTGCCGTGCTGTGGCTGAGCAGCGAGCAGGGGCTGCTTGTGGGAGCTCTTGCCGCATCTGTCCTGAGCTGTAGCGTTTGTTCCAGAAGTGGATATTCTCCTTATCCCTGTGCTTATACTCCCCCTCAGCCATATCTCCTCAATTACCGGCTCCCCTCGCTCTCACCAGGCCATGCAGCCACCCTGCCATGCTCCACACACTCGCTCCACGTCTGGGCTCTACCCCACGGACTTAGTGGTTTGGGGCTGATCTGGTTTTTGTGGTTGGTGACGGTGCTCCTGTTTCCTCTGCAAACCTCATCTCTGAGCTGGACCCTGCAAGGCTGTTGGTCTTGCACATCCTTTCTGCCCACGATGGGCCCTGGGCTCTGTCAGCCTCAGCTGATTGTGAAGGGATGAGGGTGGGCGACATCCTTTGCCCACTGCCTTCCCCTCCCGGCTGTGGGTTTGCCCTCTGCCCCAGGCTGAAA